TTTTCACAATTTTGAATCGATTCCTCTCGATTCCGAGTCCACATTTAGTGATGTCGAATCACTTTAGAGTCTACTTTTTGCGATTCCAAATTGATTCTTTGTCATTCCGAGTTGGCTGTTCACATTACTTCTCACTATTCAGCCTGTTTGTTATGATTCAAGTGTACAGCACACAGCTCACGTCTGCTCTTATTGAGTTTATACCATGTGACCTCTTCACACAGCTGGTTTCAGGTCAGTTGTTGTCAGATAAACAAAAGTGTTTCAATAGTTGAAGATGACCACAGCAAATGCTGAAACAGTTAGCCAAGATCTTTATCTTTATTAAATGAGTTCTGTAGACAAATATCAGTTGTGCTTATGCAGGATTTATAAAGTGGCTGTAATGGAAATGAGTTTAAAGGAGCATCATGATCCACGAGTGTTTCTCCAGCAGAATCTGACCTGTATTAAAAATAAACAGTCTTGAAGACATTAGTGCTCTTACTGCGGCTACCTCCCGACAGCTGTAGTGTGAAGAACATCAGTCTAGATCTCATCACGAGCCGTTGGTTTAATTCACAGTATTATTGGTCTGAAACTTAGAGACATTCGAGCTTAAAGAGAGTCCAGCATCTAGGATTTATGCTACATCTACACACACACACACTTTCTATAAATGTAAGAAAATACAGGTCTTTAAAACAGACTCTTTAGTGCAGACTATCAGAGGGAATGTTTCAGGATTCGTCAGCGATGATCCGAGCGCGGCAGCTTTCCCGCAGCTTCGACACAGTGGCCATAGAGAGACTGCCGGGCTCCTGGAAGATTTTCTGAAAAACACACAAACATACAGAGCTCAGCATCATTTCAGGGGCCAGAACATAACCTGAGCATGACTAGAATGTACACAGATCATCAACTGAGAATAACCTGAACATTAAATGAACATAGCCTGAGCATAACCAGAACTTAACCTGAACATAACCTGGCATGTCTAGAATGTACTCAGATCATAACCATACCATTGACTAAGCATAACCAGAACATAACCTGAACATATCCCGAGCATAACCAGAACATAAAATCAACATATCCTGAGCATAACCAGATCATAACCTGAGAATAACCAAAACATAACTTGAACATAAAATGAGCATAACCAGAACTTATCCTGAACATAATCTGAGCATAACCTGAACATAAACCGAGCATAGCCAGAACTTAACCTAAACATAACCTGAACATAACCAGAACTTAACCTGAACATAATCTGAGCATAGCCAGAACTTAACCTAAACATAACCTGAACATAACCAGAACTTAACCTGAACATAAAATGAACATAATCTCAGCATAACCAGAATTTATCCTGAACATAATCTGAGCATAACCTGAACATAAACCGAGCATAATCAGAACATAACCTGAACATCACCAGAACATAACCTAAATATAACCAGAACTTAACCTGAACATAACCGGACCCAGAGCAGGTTATCCATGCAGTGTAAGTTACCATGGTGACAAACAGCAATTGAAGTCATGCTCCTCCATGGTATTTAAAACCTAGTATTGGTTTAACTAAACTGAACTGGCTAGGCAGCTAATCCAGCTTGACGGTACGGGCCGCTGACGTGTCTCTATCACTGATCTGGGCTGTGTGTTGTGTCTGTAACCTGCATGAAAGTGTGGCAGTCCTCCACGAAGGCTCCTCTGGTGATGCGTTTGAAGCGTTCACAGACGTCCGGCAGGTTCTGCGCCTCAGCGATCTCCTGCTGGTGGTGTCGGATCAGAGTCAGAGCCACGCGGAACAGGATCTTGGAGCCCTCGTAGAACAGGCAGTCCCAGATGCGCAGCACCGTCTGCAGGACGCAAACACTGAGCGTCAGGTGACTTTCATGTTCAATACTCCGCTGAACTGTTACAGAATCACACCATGTAAGATCTGATTCCTCTACTAATCCCTGATCTTCACTGTCTGACTGAGATCTGATGTAAAGTGTGTCTCAGAGCAGGCCAGAAGCACCGCAGTAAATGACTCTGCTCTGCGCCATCGCTCTCAAATATGGATATGGACAGAGTTGTGCTCGCCTGCTGCTCCTGACAGCGCTTCATCTAGTTTAATCCTTCAAGAACTAAACCAGGACTGAAGGCCAGCAGGTTTATATTCTAATGTGTCTTTATTTAATAACGAAATTTTGGAAATATTATAATTCTACTGATAATAAAGGCAGCCGCGCTCAGCTTGACCTCCACGGGCAGCACGTCGATGAACAGGCAGATGAACCAGCGCGAGACCACCAGAGTCCACATCACACCCTGATCCTGCATGAGCTTCCAGACCGCAGGAGCCTTCAGCCGCACCAGCTCCCCCAGCACCTCCTGATCCGTCTTCAGGCCCAGCATCGCCGGGGTGTAGTAATCTGAGGAAACACACACACACACACACAGGGTGAGTGCCTTTTTACTCTAGTTTATTGTATAACTAGATAGATAGATAGATAGATAGATGGATAGATAGATAATTGTAATGCATTTATTTAAACAATATTGATAAGTAAAAAAATCAAAGTTACCAGATTTAATTTATTTTAAATTAATGGTATTAAAAAAAAAATAAATAAAAAAAAAAAAAATATATATATATATATATATTTTTTTTTTTTTTGATTGTTGATTAAAATGTAACTATTGATAATGAAGAGAATAATGTCATTTTAAAGTATTATTTATAAAAACCTCAATGCTAAACTCACAAAATATGTATTTATTGCATTGATGGTAATTAGAACCTAAAATACTAAAACAACGAGTAACATGATGATGTGTTTGAGCCGGATCTGAGGTGCTGCAGGAAGTGTGTGTGTGTGTGTGTGTGCTAGAGGTGTGTTTGAGTGTGTGTGTTGCTCCTAAAAGGATCAGATCATGTGACGTAAGCCCAGTTTATTCATAGACGTAAGCTGAGAATAGATGTGCTCATGTCATCTCTCGTCATAGCGTGTGTGTGTGTGTGTGTGTGTGTGTGAACAGCAGGAAACACACCTGGCAGTATCCGGCTCAGCAGCGCCTCCATCAGCCAGAAGGACGTCTCCTCATCTTTACTGACCAGGATCAGGTAACCTGCGATGAAGTTCATTCCCTGATACAGGGAAAAACAGACGCAGAAATATAAGCACACACACACACACACACACACACACACACACACACACACACACTTATTTACATTGCAAATACAATATATGCATGAAATCTTCAGTCATAAAAAAACAACATGTAACATAAATAATGCTTAAAACATGTGCGGTATTAGAGAAATTAATTAATTACTAAAAATTATGACTCAATCGTGCACTAAATCTAATTTGACCAAACCATGCTGACATTTAAATGCCCCAAAACAAACACGCCCATAATACAAGACATTATTAACCCTTTTTGATATCGTCACTATAGTTACTGGACACACCCCTTACTGCTGATTGGCTGAAGTGTGTTTTAGGACTCTGCTCAAACATTGTTTAATACAGTATTAAAATTCACACATTTTAGAAACAAAAATAATATAGTTGAACAATTATATGATTAATTAAAAATTAGCACATGTGAAAAAATGAATTAAATTTTACAAAAATGAGAAAATTTTAATTTATTAAAAAATATAATAATTACACAATAATAATAATAATTAATAATAATAATTAAATAATAATAACAATAACTAAATAATAATGATTATTATTACATAATAATAAAAATAATAATAAAATAATAATAATTATAATGACATAATAATAATAATAATAATAAAATATAAATATTTAATATCAGCCCATAATGATGAAACTTAATTCCTGCTGTAATACTAGACTGTATTTCAGCTTTAGTCTTTATCTCTGCGTGTGTGTGTCAGTCCTCTCAGCCAATCGCGTGTCTCTTCATCGGTCGCTCATTTGCATTGTAAATATTGTGCAAACTCTGTGCTGGTTCAATAAACACAAACAATGATTGACTAGTAGAGGCCAGCAGCTGTGCGTATCCCAGCATTCCTCTCTGTTCTGATTGGTCAGATGTGAGGTCATGTGATCATACCTGACAGTACCCCACTGCTTTATTATGATGTCCGTACGCCACCAGCACGTTATACAGCGCCTTCTGCAGACACGGCTCCGCTGACTTCCTGAAGTAGATGTTGTCTGGGAAGGTTCTGTGCAGATCTACACACACACACACACACACACACACACACACACACACACACACACACACAGAAGATCATGCAAAACTTAACTGAGGAAGTGTAAGAGTTGCAATATTCTGTCTGTAGCTCCGCCCTCTCATTTGCATTTAAAGCAACAGTCAGCAAAACAGCACAATTAGGATCAAAGCCTGAAGGGGTCAGTTTCAGAGAGCTGGAGAACATCATCTGTGTGTATTCTCAGCTCAAACTCAAAGTTTCACCATCACACTGTGGATTTCAGAGCATTCTAAATCAAAAATAGCAAAAAGGTCAATAAACTAGTGTGTTAGATGTGTTTCTGATGCAAATGATATGACTAAATTTTCATATTTGTTTTCGCTCTGCTTTGGAAAATGCAAATGTAAATACAGAAACACACTGCTCTTTTGCATCTGACATCTGTAATGAACACTGCAGCTCGCCTCGTCTGTGTGTCTGCAGCACAGTACAGGAAGGCAACAGTGCTGCATGAGCACAGCCAGATCGACACTCTATACCACACATAAACCAGCGTCTCTGTTTATCTGTGCACTCCTGAACAGAACCCGAAGCGGATTTAAACATGTGCTGTTCCATAAATCAGAAAACACAGTGGACAGACACGAAACACACAGAACATAGAGGAAAACACAGCGGCAGAGTCAGGTGTGTGTGTGTGTGTCGTATTAGTAATGCATGAACAATATCTCACACACCCGCATGTGACGTCACAGTAGTGCTCATACTGACTCAGTGCAGAGTGAATGAGTGTTGGATTAGTGGCATGCGTGTGTGTGTGTGTGTGTGTGTGTGTGTGTGTGTGTGTGTGTTGATCTCACCGGTGCGGATGCTCTCCTCCAGTTTGGGCTCGTGGTGTGTGTCCAGCAGGGACTGGTAGTATCCCGGGTTTCTGTCCATCTGCTCCTGCGCTCCACTGCACACCATCCACACCAGCGGCCGGTGCTCATTCAGGACACCCTTCCTCACGTACCGCTTCACTGCAGACACACACACGCATACACACATGCATTCACACACAAATGCACACATACATATACACACACACACACACACGAGCACACGCATACAAACACACATACATATATACATGCTCACACACACACACACACACACACACACACACACACACACACACACACTGTTGATCAGATCTGAATGATGATGATGCAGTAATTTTATTAGACTGATCTCCTCTCTCTCTCACACACACACACACACACACACACACACACCCTTCAGGTTACGGTCAACACGGCGCCGCCCCTGCAGCAGTTTGGCCCATCTGATGGAGCGGCGGGTCAGGACCGCCAGATACTCCGACATCAGCTGCTCATGAGTCTCGTAGTCGAAATCATCGGAGCGCTGGAAGCCGTACGCGTCCACACTGCAACACACACACACACACACACACACACATGTGATCCACCACACACTTAACATCAGGTGTGTGTGTCCAGCTAAGGTCAGGTGACACACTCACAGCAGCTCATCCAGCACGGGTTCACCAGAGCAACACATGAGCTGTGTGTGTGTGTGTGTGTGTGTGTGTGTGTGTGTGTGTGTGTGTTCACAGTCCACATAATTCTAGGTAAAGCTGCTATTCAATATGGAAATTGTTTCATAAATAGGGAAATGTGCTTTAATTAGCTGTATTAAACTGTACTCTAGTGTACTCAGTCTAGTGTACTCAGTCTAGTGTACTCTGTGTACCTGTGCTCTCTCTCTCTCTCTCTCTCTCTCTCTCTCTCTCTCTCTGGCCATCCTGTAGTGTAGTGTGCTCAGTGTAGTGTAAGTTACTCTGTGTAGTGTGTACCTGTTTGCTCTCTCTCTGTGGTGGTGCTGTAGTCTAGTTCACTTTGTGTAGTGTACTCTGTGTAGTGTGTATTTGTTTGCTCTCTCTGGTGGTGGTGTAGTAATGTGTAGTGTACTCTGTATAGTATGTACCTATGTGATCTCTCCCTGGCGGTTCTGTAGCCTAGTGTACTCTTTTTAGTGTACTCTTTGTAGTGCATTCTGTTTAGCGTGTACCTTTTTGCGTGTACTCTCTCTCTCTCTCTCTCTCTCAGGTGGTGCTGAAGTGTACTCAGTGTAGTGTTGTCTGTGCAGTGTGTACCTGTATGCTCTCTCCCTGGCAGTGCTGTAGTGAAGTGTAGTATACTCAGTGCAGTGTACTCTGTGTAGTGAGTACCTGTTTGCTCTCTCTGGCGATGGTGTAGTGTACTCTGTACAGTGTGAACCTGTGTAGAGTGTACCTGTGCTCTCTCTCTCTCTCTCTTGCTCTCTCTCTGGCAGTTCTGTAGTGTAGTGTACTCTGTGTAGTGTACTCTGTGTAGTGTGTACCTGTTTGCTCTCTCTCTCTCTGGTGGTGTAGTGTAGTGTACTCTATGTAGTGTGTACCTGTTTGCTCTCTCTCTCTGGCGGTGTTGTGTAGTGTACTCTGTGTAGTGTACTCTATGTAGTGTGTACCTGTTTGCTTTCTCTCTGGCGGTGTTGTGTAGTGTACTCTGTGTAGTGTACTCTATGTAGTGTGTACCTGTTTGCTCTCTCTCTCTGGCGGTGTAGTGTAGTGTACTCTGTGTAGTGTACTCTGTGTAGTGTGTACCTGTTTGCTCTCTCTCTCTGGTGGTGTAGTGTAGTGTACTCTGTGTAGTGTACTCTATGTAGTGTGTACCTGTTTGCTCTCTCTCTCTGGCGGTGTAGTGTAGTGTACTCTGTGTAGTGTACTCTGTGTAGTGTGTACCTGTTTGCTCTCTCTCTCTCTGGCGGTGTAGTGTAGTGTACTCTGTGTAGTGTACTCTATGTAGTGTGTACCTGTTTGCTCTCTCTCTGGCGGTGTAGTGTAGTGTACTCTGTGTAGTGTACTCTATGTAGTGTGTACCTGTTTGCTCTCTCTCTGGCAGTGCTCGGCTGGTTGATGCGGTGTTGCGGCTGGCCGGTTCTCCCGGTGCGGTCGCGCTCCTCCATGTTCAGTCCTCCGGGCTCCGGGTCTCCTCCATTCACCGCTCATGGACGCCGCTGAGCAGACAAACTTTTCCCGCACACACCGCCACAGTAATGGCTCCGCTTCTCCCGCGGGACAGACAGCTGAACAACCTGCCGCTCCGGTAACGGCACCGGTAACATCCAGCGCGCGCTCGACAACTCGCGAACTTCAGCGCGCGCGCATCATCGGCGACCGACAACAACACGCGCGATTAATTTCCCCAGAGAGCTCAAGGGCACACGTCAATCAAGCCGAGGGGCGGGACTTTGAGCTCGAAGACCCGCCCCTCACACGCTGTCTCTCGCGTCAGTCAAAAAAAGGGGCGGGTCTCTTCATCACGCTATGTGTTTAGGAGAATTGAAGACTCCAGTCCAGTCTGAGCCTGTCTTAATGAGACACAGAGTCTGGATGAACTCTTGTAAAAACAGGTTTGATTAAATGAATCATAAGAGGTTATGCAATAAATACACACACATATAGCTAGATTTCTCTCTTCAGAAAATGATAAATGTTTTCATGAATAAGTGTTTTATTATATTACAGCAAATACAGATTTCTTAATCATAATGAATATTGGTTTTTACCATTGAGTCTAAAAGTTTGAGGTAAAAACAATATAAAATATACATTTATTTTATAAATACAGAAATATGATATAAATAACTTGATATAAAATATAGATAAAAGTATAAAAATAAAAACAACAATAATTAAAAAAAGGTATTTAAATATATATGAATTCTAGATGTTCTACAATAATATAAAGTGTACAGAAGTCCCTCAGAGAGAGTGTGTGTGTGTTCTGATGACGCAGCTGATGTAAGAGTTGATCCTGTCCAGCGCTGTTTCTCTGTCCTAGTAAATCCTGATGATCCATGTCCGGTTGAGGCCAGCGAACGACTGGATTAACCACAGACACACCCGTACATGACGTCTCAGTTTTCCAAGAACACACACACACACACACACACACACACACACACACACACACACACACACACACACACACACACACACACACACACACACACACACACACACACACTCCTTGTTTCCAGAAGCAGTTTGCTGGAGGAGTCGGATCTGATGCTGATTCCCTGTAAACTCCTCTGCAGTTTGAGTCTGCTGTACATCAGTGTATGAGCTGGTCTGCTGTGTGTGTGTTTGCTGTGGTCAGTGTTCAGCAGCTCATACTGTCAGGACTGGATATAGAGGCGTTTATAAAGGGCTGAAATGAAGCTGGCTGGGTGAGCGTGCAGAACTGCCACCTAAAACTAGTCCTCAAACTAATCCTGATCAGATTAACTGGAGCACATGTTCTGATCTCACAGATGAGGCGAGCAGCAGATCCAGTGTGTGTGTTTGTAGAGTCATGAATCTCTGAAGCACACACACACACACACACACACACACACACAGAGTGATGCCACATGATGCGGGTGTGTCTGTTCAAAGAGCTCCTGCAGGTCAGTTCAACACAGCTGAGTTTAACCCACTTCACCACACACACACACACACACACATACACACACACACACACACACACACACAGCTGCTTTATGCTGTCTGTGAGCGCACAAGTTAAACATCTGGAATAACAAAGACATGTCTCATGATCAGTGCTGAAAACAGTGGAAAATCCCACACTGCAGGTCTAAAGTAGAGAAACGAGTAGAGTTAGGATGATTCTAGGGGCCACACAGTTTTGGGGCCCCCAGAGACAATATTAAGGTTCCAGCCCTGATTAATCACATCTGATCAAACTAATCGACTACTTCAGGCTTGTTTGAGACCTGCAGGTCAGTGTGTTGAAGCAGGCTACGGCTCTCCAGGATCTGAGTTTAACACCCCTGCCATACAACAACTTAGCAACAGCCCAGCTACCCCAGTTTACTCTCATTAACCACTCAGAACACCTTAGTAACTGTATAGTAACCTCCTACAACACATCCGCAATCTCCTATACTGTAAACTAAAAGCTGACTCAACTCAAAATTATAGGGCAGCCGCAGAGCTGTTTTGAGTGGACTTAACTTTCTGCACTTGACTCAGTTTAAGTTGAATAAACTCACAAATGTCCTGAAGCCGACTGCCTTCAAATCTGAAGTTGAGTCATCTTCTTTACAGCGTAGCATCTTCCCAGATTAGCATATCCACTTCACCTTAGTAAATACCTAGCAACCACCCAGAGTACTCTTGCAAATACCAACAAGCACCTTGAAAACCCTAGCAACACTGTTGCAACAGAATTTCAAGCAACATAGCAACCACCCTGTTTACTATAGCAACCACACTGAAAGCACTCTTGCTGCCTTTAACTTTTTGTTGAATCAAATAATTTTTCAATTCATCTCAACTTACATCAATCAAACAGACTAAATATATTACGTTAAACTGGCTACCTGGTTAATTTGATTTGCTTGTGGAAACTTAGTTAACCTATTGAAATAAGTTAACCCAACATAAAGATATGTGTTGCCTTGATTTTTAGGGGTTCAAGCATGTAAACTCCTATTGTTTTTGTTAGAATTTATATTATTATTATTTTATTCTTCATATTATTTTATTCTTCATATTATTATTATTATTATTATTATTATTATTATTATTAATATTATTATTATTATTTTATTCTTCATATTATTATTATTATTATTGTTGTTGTTGTTGTTGTTATTTTATTATTATTATTATTATCATCCTTATTTTATTATTATTATTATTATTATTATTAATATTTTTACATTATTTATTATTATTTTTGTTATAACTATTATATTATATATTTTTTATATATATATAATTATTATTATTATTTTACTTTATTATTATTTTTATAATTATTTATTATCTTATTTTATAATTGTTATATTATTATTAGTAGTAGTAGTAGTAGTAGTACTTTTATTATTTTATTATTATTATTATTATTACTATTATGATTATTTATTATTATTATTATTATTATTATTATTATTATTATTATTACTATTATTCTTATTTTTATTTTTGTTTTTTATTATTTTTATTATTATTTATTATTATTATTTATTTATTATTATTATTATTATTATTATTTTTTTTTTTTATTATTATTATTATTATTATTATTATTATTATTATTCAGCTGTAATGTGGAACAGGCAGACCAACCCTTAAGGTCTAGTTGTAAATGCTTTTGTTACAGTGCACTCAGAGTACCCCAGCAACTGCATAGCAACTAACTTCAGATCCCTAGCAACACCCTAGCAACAAACCAGAGTAACCTATCAACCATCCAGATTAAAAATCAACTTCCTAGCAACCGCCCAGTCATTCTTGGCAACTGCCTAGCAATGACAAGTAACTTCGCAACTGCATAGCCACAACCAAGACAACCCCAGCAACATCAAAGCTACAAAATCCACTCAAAGCATCCTAGCAACTACCCAGAATACCCTAGCAACACCCTAGCAACTACACATTTCATCTTAGCAACTGCCTAGCAACCTCCTAGTCAAAATATGACTTTATTTGCTGTGCTCCTAATCAAAGAGAAGCAGCCTTGCTGAACAGTAGAGGCGATTTGACCAATAGAGCGTGAGGCTATTTGCATATGCATGATGAAGCAGACACTAATGATGATTGATCGTGTGTTGTTGATGTTTCTGGAGTGTGTGTGTGTGTGTGTGTGTGTGTGTGTGGATCAGATAAACACACAGCAGAAAGATGAGTTCACGTCACTGTTATACTCCTGCACACAGAGTAACTCATGTTGGTTGAGCTTTTCTTTAGTTTTCCTCCACCAGTTAGGCCGTACTCACACTAGGTACAGTTGCCTCGAACCGGGCCAAAGCACGCTTGTCCCCCCTCCCGTCTCCCCCGACGGCCCGCGCTCACACCATACCGGGCCACGGCACGCTTACGTCATCGCTGCTGCGCTGTTCAGAAGCGCTCTCTATGGCAAGCCTTTTTAGCATTTAAATATTTGTTCTGACTCCATAAATATATTTAGAGATATCTCTAATTATATTTTGACTAGTCATAATTATAATTCGACTAGTCAGAATAACAATTATTCAAAAATATTTGCAGATATCTCTAAATGAGTTTTGACTCGTCACAATTGTAATTAGAGATATCTCTAACTGAGTTTTTACTAGTCATACAGATGTCTTTAATTCGTAATATTTAGAGATATTTACAAATATATTTGAAGATATCTCTAATTAATTTACTAATAGTCGAATTACAGTTGTAGATATCTTGAATTGGATTTTTGACGAGTCAAAACTCAGAGATATCTGCAAATATTTTTCAATGGAAGTCAATGGAGGAATATGACTAGTCATAATATATTTGCAGATATCTCCAATCTGATTTCGTACTAGTACAATTGTAATTGCAGATATCTCTAATTGTCATTCTGACAAGTCGAATTATAATTATGACTAGTCAAAATATATAATTATATCTCTAAATATATTTATGGATAGTCAGAACAAGGTTTAAATGTTAAAACGGCTTGCCATACGCTCTCATTTAGCAGCACAGTGAAGATTTCTCTAGTTATATCCTTTCAGTCGTTTGTTATGCAGTGACATGCAGTCAAATATTTCGCCAAACAGTCCTTAGGGATGCGGGGACACACAGTCAGATATTTTACCGAACAGATCCGCCACTTTTGGCGCTCATAAACAATCAAAGCTCTCGTGCTGCAGGAATGAGGAGATCTGCTGAAGGTGCAGCTGGCGTGTTGTGAGGAGTTTGCGTCTTTAATAAACTACGGCAGTTTGCGATCACTGAACAGTAAGAATGATTAATAAATCCATATCAAACAGTCCCTTAAAAGTCACGTCTCGCTTTCGGTTTCGGGCTTTGGCGCGTTTCGCGCTCACACACAAGCGTACCGCGCCAAAGCCCAAGTGTACCGCGCTCAGGCACACCTCTTCCAACCGGGCCAGGGCCGGCCAAGTGAACCGTGCTTGAGCCCGATTCAGCGCACTCACACTTCTCAAACGATCCGGGAAACGGGCCTGGGCACGGTACGGATGGCATAGTGTGAGTAGGCCCTTAATGAGAGATGAATCTGGTGACATATTAAATCTGGCCTTTATGTTTTCAAGCTGGAACAAACCTGGTTAAAGTTTTACCCAGAACCCTCTCAAACCACAGCGTCTGCTTTTGTGCGTCAGTGTTTTGCATTGTGTGAAAATGACCTGCAAGTTGATCTATAGCAGCACTGTTTGTGTCTGTGGGGTTTCTCTTCTGCTGGTGTCAATGCAAATACATCATCATCACCATCATCATCATCATCATCATCATTCTCCTGAAAGCAGCTTAAAATAACAGACATGTGCTGGATGTGATACGCTCCACAGAAAAAGCTGATGCTCTGTTTTGGCATCAGAAATGTCCACAAACAGATGAAGACAGAATGATTCGGCCTCATGTGAACTTTTTATTCTTTCCCAAATGATGTTTAACAGTGCAAAGGACCCTATATTATATTGTTCTGGAGAAACTCTTTGTAATATCTTGCAGAATAACTAGTCAAATATTATCTACTGTCATCATGACACAGATAAAATATGCATTGCTCTCAAATGATTAATCACATCCAAAATTATAGTTTGTACTCACTGTGTATAAATATTGTCTATTTATAAATAAAACACATGTATAATACAAAAAATGCCAAACCTAAAAGATTTATATATATATATATATATATATACACACACACACACATAATTTTAGATGTAATTAATAACAATTAATCTTTTGACAGCAATAAAAATGTTATTAGAAAGTAGTTATTAAAACTATTATATTTAAAAATGTGTTGAAAAACTCAAACAATACTTGAACAAGAATGTAAATGTTGACAGCAGGACTGATACTGCAGTGTTTATGTGTCAGTGTGTTCAGAAGTTAAAGGTGTCGGTGAAGCGGATGATTTTCGGGATGTAGGTGAGTCTCGCTGAAGGCTCGCTGTAGTTTACGCTCCTGTACTTCTGTGTTTCTCCTGATTTCTCCTCATTCATCTTCTGACCATCAGAAACTCTAGAACTGAGGTCAGCGCTGGCGGTGGCGTCTGAGCAGAAACGCTCCTGCTGTCTGTCTGTCTCATGAGGAGGAATCGATTCTTCATCATTCCACTCTTCATGTTGATCTCCTGTCTGCACCAGAGGCTTTGTGGAGCTCATTAATGTCCAGACTTCAGCAGAAGGCCTGACTGATGATGGAGGAATGGTCATGGTTGGATGTTCCTCTGTTTGTTGCTCTGAATCCAACACAACAGAACTGAAGGCTTCATTCAGGTCCTGCTGTCCAAAATCGTCCTGTCCTGCATGTGAGTCAATTGATTTGGCCATTAGTACTTTATGTGAAACAATTGATTTGCCCTTGAGTACTTCTGAATCATTCGATTTGTTTGTGAGTACTTGTAAATCAGTTGATTCAATCATGAATACTGTAGGTGAATCAGTTGGTTTGTTTTTGAGTACTTGTGGATTAGTTGATTCGGTCATGAGTACTTCACGTGAATCAGTTGATTTGTTTGTGAGTACTTCATGTGAACCAGTTGATTCGGTCATGAGTACTTCATGTGAATCAGTTGATTTGTTTGTGAGTACTTGTGAATCAGTTAATTTGTTTTTGAGTACTTGTGAATTAGTTGATTTGGTCATGAGTACTTCATGTGAATCATTTGGTTTGTTTGTGAGTACTTCATGAGAATCAATTGATTTATTTGTGAGTACTTCATATGAATCAGTTGATTCGGTTATGACTACTTCATGTGAATCAATTGATTTGGTTGTGAGTACTTGTAATTCTTTTGATTTGCTTGTCAGTAATTCTTGTGAATCATTTGATTTGCTTGTGAGTACTTCATGTGAATCATTTGATTTGCTTGTGAGTACTTCTTGTGAATCATTTGATTTGCTTGTGAGTACTTCATGTGAATCATTTGATTTGCTTGTGAGTACTTCATGTGAATCATTTGATTTGCTTGTGAGTACTTCTTGTGAATCATTTGATTTGCTTGTGAGTACTTCATGTGAATCATTTGATTTGTTTGTGAGTACTTGTGAATCATTTGATTTGCATTTGAGTACTTGGGAATCATTTGATTTGGGCATGAGTACTTGTGAATCAGTTGATTTACTTGTGAGTTCTTCATGTGAATCATTTGATTTGGTTTTGAATGCTTTTAGTGAATCAGTTTTGGTGTGTTGCCTGAGTATTTCTTCTGAATTTGTTTTGTTATGTCTGAGTATTTTATTTGAATCAGTGAGTACTTGTGAATCAGCTGATTTACTTTTGAATGCCTGTGGTGAATCAGTTGATATGTTTGTGAGAACTCTTTGTGAATCAGTTGAGTTGACAGTGAGTACTTGTGAATCAGTTAATTTATTTCTGAGTACTGGTAAATTAGTTGATTCATTTGTGAGTACTTGTGAATCAGTTGATTTGTTCATGGGTTCTTGTGAATCAGTTGATTTTGTTGTGAGTTCTTCTTGTGAATCAGTTGATTTGTTCATGAGTTCTTGTGAATCAGTTGATTTGTTCATGAGTTCTTGTGAATCGGTTGCTTTGCTTGTGAGTCCTGGTGTATCAGTTGTCTTTCCGCCGAGTTTCTTGAGTGTATCTTGTGTATCAATAGATCTGCTGTGTTTCTTGACCCGGCATGATGGATTGTGTTTGTGTGCCGTCACTAAAGTCTCGAATGCCTTGATGATGCTGCTGAACGCACTGTCTCCGCCGCTGCACCGCTGCGTCTGTTTCTTCATGTCCTTTTTCTCCAGTGCTGCAAATTTCTCCAGCATGTCCTGAACACGTGAGGCTTTTCTCTTCATTCCAGCTCTTGCGTTGGCTCTCAGCGTGTGTGTGTCTTTAATCTGGCGCTCCTTGACATTCAGAGAGCCCACTTCTCTCCTGCGGCTGACCCCGGGCTTCTGCGAACTCTTCAGGAACTTGGATCTGAGCAGCTGGAACGCGCTGAGCCGTGGACTGACCCTCGGAGACTCCTGAGATGCTGAAACAGGGTTTGGAGGATCTCCGGCTTGGTAAAGCAGCAGATCCTCCAGGATTCCTCTGATTTTCGGGTGTGTAGATCGATCCAGGATCAGCTGTTTGACAGATTTCAGATCCAGAGTTGAAGTGATGGAGATCCGCCGTCCGTCTCTCTGTGCTCTGTGGAATAAAAGTGTGTTTCTGTGTACTCAGAATGAAGCCACAGCCTTTAGAGGGGATCTGTTACGCAGAAATCACTTTAATAAGGGGTCTAACACAGCATTAGTGTGGAAAGATCTCCAGCCTCTAATGGTGAACATGGAGGAATTGTATTTGTTAGAATAAAGCAGTCAGCAGAAACATTTTGATTGACATTCAGAGAGGAAGCCCCGCCCACATAAGATCCAAAACGGTTATCCAGAATTATGACTAAAGCCAGTTACAGTGTTCATTAGTCAGTGAAGTGAGCAGCTCCTCAATAAGACTTCAAATCAATCTTTAATTACTTAATGAATATTCAAAATACATGCGTTTGAAATCCACAAACAAGTCCCGCCCATATATGTTCGACCACTCCCCTATTCTAAACTCCACCCCTGGGGTCAAAGCCTCCCACATGATTGACAGCTTGTCTGATTCTCGTTTTCATTAAATATACAGTGATGCTTTACATTTATGACCAAAACATCACTTACAAAAGCATGAAGAGCACTTTAGGTTGAACAATAACAGATTGAGTAGCTGTTTTACCTGGTATAATGCTCAATATTTCATACATATTCCTTTATTTGATTTAATCACACTGAGGAGCATGTGATTAATCAGGTTAAAGGGGCAGCTCATCCAAATAAAACTACATGTACTCGATATTTACTCGCACACATAAACCTCCAGGAGTCTCTTTCTTCTGTTGAACACAAATGAAGATACTTTGAATATGTAAACCATTGACATCCATACTAGGAGGAAAATACTATGGTTACAGGTGTTCACCATTCTTCAAAATATCTTCTTTACTGTTTCAGAAGACGGAAACTCCTCAAGGGCTGAGGAAATGATGACAGAAGTGTAGTTGTTGTGTGAACTGTCCCTTTAACTGCTCAGAGTTTGGCGCCACCTTGTGTGAGTCGTGTATAATGTCAATTAGATTGATCAGAGAAACACTAATAATGTGCATGTGTGTGTGTGTGTGTGTGTGTGTGTGTGTGTGTGTGTGTGTGTGTGTGTGTGTGTGTGTGTGTGTGTGTGCGCGCATGTGCGTGCGCATGTGCGTGCGCGTGTCCGTGTGTCGCTTTACTTCTCTAGCGCCGCTGCTCGGTACAGTCGCTCTCCCAGGTCCTGCAGTTTCTCTCTCCTGTCCAGATCCTGATGGAGGCCGGTGGGGGCCGCACTGAGGCCATGGAGGAGCCCGAACAGACAGCCGGAGATCAGACCTGTAGCACTGCTCTCTCCTGAACACACACACATACAGGTGAACACACACACACACATACAGGTGAACACACAAACTCACACACAGTTGAACACACAAACCAGAAAGTGAACAGGAGAACACACACACACACACACACACACACACACACACACGGACAAACGTTCAAGTAAAACTACACACGTATGAACACACACACGCATACACATACACACACAAAGGTGAACACACAAACAGACGACACAAACACTGGTGAAAACACACTAGTGAATACACACACACACACACACACACACACTAACAAAATAAGACTACATATGCATACTACATGTGTGTGTTTTTCTTGGTGTATGCGTGTGTGTTCCTCTGTTTATATGTATGTGTGTGCGCGTGTCTGTGCAATTATGTGTCTGTCTGTGTGTGTGTGTGTGTGTGTGTGTGTGTGTCTGTCTGTCTGTCAGTCTGTTTGTGTGTGTGCCTATGTTTGTGTGTATATGTGTGCATGTGTGTGTGTGTGTGTACCTCCGTGCAGTATAGCGCGTCTGCAGAGTTCCTCCCAGTCGGATCCGGCCGCCAGCAGAGCATCATACGCGATCATTGGAGCGTCGTGACCCCGCCGACCCGCACAGCCCTCAGAACTCCAGCGCTTATACATCTACAGGAACACACACACAAACACACACACACACACACACACACACACACACACACACACACACACACACACAAACACACACATACTTTTCCTGTCTTTATCAGGTAAAGGTGTGTTCATGTATGTGTGTGTGTGTGTGTGTGTGCGCGTGTGTTTAAAGTGTGTTAGAGTGTGTTTACCCTGTCCGTCTCGTCTGCGTCGTATCTCTCAGGAAAGGAGGGTTTGCTCTGTCCGTCTTCAATCCCGCGCTCCTCCAGATAAAACTGCCACTTGGCCTCGAAGTAGAACCACGTCTCCTGGTACTCTGCAAGATCAATCAGTTTATTAGAGGGAGAGATGGCCACTAGTGGGCGGAGCTTACACCACTGATGACATGAATGATGAAGTCTGATTATTCATGCATTCATTCTCCTTCAGCTTAGTCTCTTTATTAATCAGGCGGCGCCACAGCGGAATGAACCGCCAACTATTCTAGCATATGTTTTACACAGTGGATGCCCTTCCAGCTGCAACCCAGTAATGGGAAACACCCATACACACTCCGAATCCCCCCAAACCACCCCCCGCCCTTCAGTTCACCATCACCTCTCAATCCCCCCCACCCCGGCCTTCAGTTCGCGATCACCTCCTCATCCCCTCCAAAGCCCCCAACCCCCTGCTCTTCAGTTCACCATCACCTCCCAATTGCAAACATGCAAACTCCACACAGAAACACTAACTGACCCAGCCGGGACTCGAACCAGCAAACTTCTTGCTGTGAGGCGACTTAACAAACCGCTGAGCCACCGTGATGCTAAGACTGATTATAACAAATACACTGAGTTCCTGTTGAGCATTAAGGCTGGATCCCCTTTAATGATCTGGAGGGGTCAGCGGGGGTCAGCAGAGCGGCTGGGTCACCTGCCATGTGGCGGATGGTCTTCCTGCAGTACTCCTCTGCTTTGGGGAGCGTCTTCAGGAGCTCTCGACCCCAGCTGACCAGCGGACGGCCCTGCACTGCGAACGAGGCGAAGAGAGCCGTGCAGAGAGAGCCCAGAAACCCTGAGGACACACACAGAGACATGAGGGACACGGAGGACAGGGGGCGCTCTTCATCTGAGGAGGAGGAGGGGGAGGATGATGGAGCACCTATGGGGTGGTTGTGGGTCATTCGGCCTGCCTCGATGCTCACTTCCACCAATGTGTGAAGCCGCTCCGGCTGCCAGTAGCGCATCCCTATACACATGGCTTTAGTGGCGGCTCCGTGACCAGAACCTGCAGGACAAACAGAACATAGGAGTCAGGAGAAGACCAGAGGAGTCATTCACTGATCACAGGAATCATTTACTGACCAGAGGAGTCATTTACTGACCACAGGAATCATTTACTGACCAGAGGAGTCATACACTGACCAGAGGAGTCATTTACTGACCAGAGGAGTCATTTACTGACCAGAAGAGTTATTCACTGACCAGAGGAGTCATTCACTGACCAGAGGAGTCATTTACTGACCAGAGGAGTCATTTACTGACCAGAGGAGTCATTTACTGATCACAGGAATCATTCACTGACCAGAGGAGTCATTTACTGACCACAGGAATCATTCACTGACCAGAGGAGTCATTTACTGACCAGAGGAGTCATTTACTGACCAGAGGAGTCATTCACTGACCAGAGGAGTCATTTACTGATCACAGGAATCATTTACTAACCAGAGGAGTCATTCACTGACCAGAGGAGTCATTCACTGACCAGAGGAGTCATTTACTGACCAGAGGAGTCATTTACTGACAAGAGGAGTCATTCACTGACCAGAGGAGTCATTCACTGACCAGAGGAGTCATTTACTAATCACAGGAATCATTCACTGATCAGAGAAGATATGAACAGTTTAGAGGAGTCATTTACTGATAAAAAGAGTCATGTACAGATCACAGGAGTCTTGAACTGTTCAAAGGAGTTATGAACAGATCAGAAGTGTCTTTTCCAGATCAGAAGTGTCATGAATGGAGCACAGGAGTTACGAACAGATCGGAAGAGTCATGAACAGTTCAGAGGAGACATTTACAGATCACAGGAGTTGCTTACTGATCAGAAGAGTCATGGATAGTTCAGAAAAGTCATGATCAGATCAGAAGAGTGAACAGTTCAGAATAGTCATGAACTGATAAAATGATTCATAAACAGATCAGAAAATTTGTTTACAGATCACAGGAGTCATTTAATGATCAGAAGAGTCATGAAGAGTTCAGAAGAGTCATTTACAGATAATAAGAGTCATGGACAGACCTGAGGAATCATTTACACATCAGAAGATTCATGAACTCATCAACTCGTTTGTAGAGGTAAACAGCTCAAATATACTGTGTGTGTGTGTGTGTGTGTGTGTGTGTGTGTGTGTGTGTGTGTGTGTGTGTGTGTGTGTGTACGTGTACGTGTACGTGTGTGTACCTTTCTCGTTGAAGGGTGTGTGCCAGGCCAGCAGGAAGTTGTGTGGTTTGAGGTTTGCACAGCCCTCCACAGTGCTGGGCTCCGGGACTCGACCCTGCAGACTCACCATGGCCTCCACATAGAGCCGCACCAGCTCACGGTACAGATCCTCCAGACACCAGTAATCTGAGCACACACACACACACACACACACACACACACACACACACACACACACACACACACACACACACACTGATTAGGGCTCTGGGGAACAGATGAAGGCTGAACTGAAGACCCTCCATCAGCTGCTGGAGACTCCATACACTCTATTACAGGGTGAGTGTGTGTGTGTTATATGCAGACTGTTGTGTGTGTGTGTGTGTGTGTGTGTGTGTGTGTGTGTGCTGATGTGGAATGTGGATGATAAGCAGTGTTCTGATCCTCCAGTGTCGTCAGCTCCTGTTTAAGGGCACTCGGCGTGCAGCATCTGAGCTGTGTTTGTGTGTGTGTGTGTGTGTGTGTGTGTGTGTGTGCGCACTCCTGCTGGATTACAGCATCAGGGGAACACACTAAGGCTCCGTTATTTACCGCACTAGCAGAGATTAGTGTGTGGCACGCCGTATTAGCATGGAAATGGACGACCGTGACCCGCAGCTCTATTCTGGGGCCCTTATCAGTGTGTGAGAGTGTGTGTGTGAGAAAGAGAAAATGTGTATGTTTGTGTGAGTGTATGTGTATGCATGTGAGACTGTGTGTGTGTGTGTGTGTGTGTGTGTGTGTGTGTGTGTATGTGTGAGAGAGAGATAGAGAGAGAGTGCATATGTGGGAGTGTGTGTTTATACGTGTGAGAGAAAGAGTGTGTTTGTGAGTGTGTGTGTGTGTGTGTGTGTGTGTGTGTGTGTGTGTGTGAGGGCATGTTGTGTCTGTGTTTATATGTGTATGTAAGAGTGTGTTGTTTGTTTGAATATAAGACTGTGTGTGTGTGTGTGTGTGTTAGAGAGAGAGAGAGAGTGTGTATGTATGTGTTAGTGTATGTAAGAGATGTGTGACTGTGAATGTGTGTATGTTCATTGTTTAGTGTGGTTGTGTGTGTGTGTGTGTGCTGCTAGTATTTGTGATGATGTGTGAGTTGTGTAGTTTGACTATAAGATAGTGTGTTTGTGTGTGTAAGGAAAAGAGTGCAGTATATGTGTGTGTGTGTGTGTGTGTGTGTGTGTGTGTGTGTGTGTTTATGAGTCATGCAGAGGAAAGCATGCGTGTCACGCCGCTGTGAGGACAGATGTGTGTGTGTGTGTGTGTGTGTCAGTGAGGAGGGATTCAGACTAATTCAGCTCTATTCTCAGCAGCTTTAAAACCTCATCTACAGACACTGAACAAAAACACACACTCACAAGCGCACACACACACACACGTCTGGAAACAACACAACCAGCAGCATCTGTCAATAACACACACATTAACTCTGCATGAACTACTGTGACAGCTTTAGCACACACACACACACACACACACACACACACACACACACACACACACACACACACACAAAAAAAAATAAAATGGTGGCTTAAAGGTCAGTGTACGTGTTTATATGAGCATATGTGTGTGTGTGTGTGTGTGTGTGTGTGTGATTCTCTCACCAGTGATCAGGGCCTCAGCGGTGGTCATGTGCATCAGGGCTCCGTCACTCAGTGGCCAGTGTTCTGCATCCAGTTTAAGGGCCGCGAGTCCCCCGAGGGCCCGGAGCTCCTGCTGGATCTGAGAGCCCGAGCTGCAGGTCTGCCAGCGGGAGCCCAGCGCGTCTCCCACCGCTCCCAGAACCATCGCCGCCTGGAACTTCTCCATCAGTGTGTGTGTGACAGAGGCTGACCATCATCTGACCAACACACTCTTATCAGCAGCTCTTTGTGTGGCGATCAGGTGTCTCCTAAAAAGGCAACAGCTGTGGGAGAACGAGAGACTGGGCTGTACTGGAGACCACTGGAGCCCCCACTGCGGTAACACACACACACACACACACACATATAGACCATTTCAATGTGCTGATGTCACTGACCCATGAACAATTCCTGCTTGTTGTCAAACTATTAGTTAAAAGAGGGAATTCAGTCATGACTGGATTTTATGTTTATGTTTCAGTCTTATTCCTAAATGGATTAAACTGATTGATTTCCTCAACATTCTACACACAATCCCCCATAATGACAATGTGGAAAAGAGTTATTAAATGGTTGAAAATTCATTCTGTCTCCACTGATCATTCTGGAGATGTCTCAGCAGCTTCATTGGAGTTCAGCTGTGCTCAATTCAGCTGATGGACATGATCTGATCAGGCTACACCTGTCTATATAAGAGCCCAGGGTTGACAGTGTATGTCAAAGCATAAAACAAGCATGAAGACAAAGGAACTGTCTGTAGAGCTCAGAGACAGGATTGTCTGGAGGCACAAGGCTGGGGAAGGTGACAGAAACATTTCTGCTGCTCTGAAAGCTCCAGTGAGCACAGCGGCCTCCATCATCCGTCAGTGAAGATGTTTAACCAGCAGGACTCTTCCTAGAGCTGGCCGGACATCTAAGCTGAGTGATCGGGGAGAAGGGCCTCAGTCAGGGAGGTGATCAATAACCCGATGGTCACTCTGTCTGAGCTCCAGCGCTCTTCTGTGGAGAGAGGAGAAGCTTACAGAAGGACAACCATCTGTGCAGCAATCCACCAATCAGGCGTCTGTATGGTGGAGCGGCCAGACGGAAGACACTCCCCGCCTGGAGTTTCCATCTGAAGACTCAAACTGAACTGTTTGGAGTAACCGCCAGGCGTTACGTTTGGAGAACAGCAGGCGGCGCTCATCAGCAGGCTAACAGCATCCCTACAGTGAAGCATGGTGGTGTTGGCATCATGCTGTGGGGATGTGTTTCAGCAGCAGGAGCTGGAAGACTAGTCAGGGTAGAGGGAAAGATGAACGCAGCGATGTACAGAGACATCCTGAATGAAGACCTGCACAAGAGTGCTCTCCACCTCAGACTGGGGCGACACTTCATCTTCCAGCAGGACAATGACCCAAAGCACACCGACAACACATCAATGGAGCGGCACAACAACAACAACTCGGTGAATGTAAGTGGCCCAGCCAGAGCCCAGACCTAAATCCTATTGAGCATCTCTGGAGAGATCTGGAAATGGCTGTACATCGTCACTTCCCACCTGATAGAGCTTGAGAGGTGCTGCAAAGAGGAACGGGCGAACATCCCTAAAGACAGCTGTGCAGAGCTCGAGCATCATATTCAGAAAGACTCGACGCTGTAATCACTGCCAAAGGAGCATCAACACAGTATTGAGCAAAGGCTGAGAACACTGATGTACATCTGATTTATCAGCTTTTTATTTGTAATAAATCTGCAACAATTTCAAAAACTGTTTCTCCACATTGTCATTATGGGGGATTGTGTGTAGAATGTTGAGGAAATCAACCAATTTACTCCATTGTGGAATAAGACTGTGACATAAACACATGTGGAAACAGTGAAGCTGTCAACACTCTACAGATGCACAGTATGTAGGACTATTGCTATTGTTTACATCCATCAAAAGGATCTATATACCCATACACACATGTATACACAGGCACACAAACACACACATATACTCATACATACACATTGAAATACACATTATAGATGTTTCATGCAAATATTGATTCAACTTAAAATAAACAGACAACAAAGATAATTAGACAATTGTTTTATAAATACTATCTCTTTTTTATTATTATGTTTATTAAGTTTTCATTTATTCCTGTTGCTAATAATATTTAAAAACACCACATGAAGCATGATACACATATTACAAATAATGAGACAGGAGAATGCATTGTGTTAATCATCTTTATTTACATATACAGTATAACACTGATGTTGAGCTGAACTGCCGACTCTGATGATCACAGAACAAACAAGCAGACACTGTGTTAGAAAACTTCCAAAACAGCACAAAACCCCTCGGTATCTGTCTGTCACGCTGCATTCAAACACACTCACACACGTCGCTCTGTGTTAGTAATGTCACTAACACTCTATAATGACCACACACACACAATAATGCTCTAATATGTCAATTAAACGCCACTTATAATGAACAAATGATGAGTTAATCAGGAACTAACTTTATCTACAACATGAGTTCATGAGAGAGAAATGGCTAGCTTAATTACTTATTGTGTTTATTAATTAATATATTAGTTAACACTTTAGTTCAAGCTAAATGTAGCTGACATGAACTCATGAGCTGTTAGAGTATGTTTATGTCATGACTTTCCTTGAAGGGGCACATTATTATTATTATTATTATTAACTAATTATTAATTACTTGTGTTTAAACTATATGTTATGATGTATACAGGTTGCTTTTCAATGTAAACACAGTTTAAAGGAGCACTTTATTATTATTACCTCATTAATAATAACTTCTGTGTTTAACGTAATAGTCATGCATGTCTGATGAGTGTGTGTTTACACTGAAAGACAATAGAAAGTCTTCAGTTTACATCAATATGAGCAGTTTCAACACCGAGTTCATGAGTTATTAATAAGGAGTTCATATTAATAATGTGGCCCGTCAAGTAAAGTCATGACATAAACATACATTAACAGCTCATGTTAGTTACAATTAGCTTAAACTAAAGTCTTAATTAATATTTCGATTACCTGACATGTACTAACAAGTAATTAATCTAGGCATTATTCACTCATGATGTAGTTAAAGTTAGTTCCTGATTAGTACATGCCTCAACTCATCATTAGTTCATAATATATTAATGTTTAATTTACATATTAGTCCATCATTATCCCTGTGCTGTTATTGTAGAGCGCTATCGTAATGTCCATTCTCCATTTATCTGTTTCGTCCTCTTGTCAGCGCTCATTATAGAGTCTGGAGGTTTTCTGCTGTAACGATCGGCCGAGCAAACTCCACAAAATCATCGATGAGCACCGGCCACGCACCTACGACACAGCAAAACACTCAATAAATACAAGGCCAGTATTAATCAGACAGGCTTTCAAGCGTAATCTATTCATCTGACGCAAGAAATGTTCAATTTTAGAAAAAAAAAGATGATCAGTGTTTGTCAAACATGCATTTATTAAGCACAAATATAATAAATGTATAATAATAAATGTAAATAAATACACACATGTGACTCGCTTTCAAATAGCAGATACATTATACATTCATTTTGCTTAAACTGGAATGATATACATATTTATAAAATATAGAAACGTATAATTTACAGTAAACTGAATCAATTATTCATGTAAAATAATGCAAAGTGCCTAAACATGACAGAGATCCTGATACTAAATGTTGTTTAACTGACTGATCATGTTCATATTTACAAAACAAGATGCCCCTAAATACACAAACAAACAGTATTCAATCATTCATTCAATCTATTTCAAAGTGGAATGAACCACCAACTATTCCAGCATATGTTTTACACAGCAAATGCCTATCCAGCTGCAACCCAGCACTGGGAAACACCCACCCACACACACACACACACTCATACACTACGGCCAGTGTAGTTGATCAGTTCCCCTATAGTGCATGTGTTTGGACTGTGGGGGAAACCGGAGCACCCAAAGGAAACCCACACCAACACGGGGAGAACATGCAAACTCCACACAGAAACACACACTGAACCAGCCGGGACTCGAACCAGCAACCTTCTTGCTTTGAGGCAACATTGCTAACCACTGAGCCACCATGCCGCCACAACACAGTATTTTGAGTGATAACCTATAATATAACTGGTGTTAATATTCAACACTGTTTCATTAAAATCTTTGAAAAATAATAGAAGATTTATCTTGGAGACACTAAATGTTCCCGCAAGTCCATATTAGCCATCTATATCAGAAATGAGTGTAAGCTCATGCAGTGTGTGGGACTGACTGACCCTCCTCGTCATAGTTTGACATGTCGTCCGCGATCATGTTCCCGAAGTCCAGCAGCAGGTTCCAGGTGTCCTTAGGGATGGACTTCTTATGATGCTCCTTTACAGAAACAAGATGAAGGAGAAGCAAAACCCTCATCAGTTCAGCTGTCATATAACACTACTCCAGCCTCACATCACTGACGTTAACACCCAGTGTATTTAACAGGAGATTAGATACGACATGTCAACGCTGGAGCAACACACTGCCCTTTTGTTGACTAGAGGAAACAGTGCACTGCGTTTCTTATGTTGCTAGGTAACCACTGTAGCAATGGTCTTTGTGCTGGAGCGCGTGACATCGGGTGCAGTGCATAAAGGTGTTGTTTACATCCTTCTCTACTGCTAAAGTGTGTGTAATATTCAAATGATAATGAAAATAGGAGCATGCAGTCGTTGATAGCTGTAGGATCTAGTCATTATAGAGTGCTGTACCAGGAGGAACGTGTTCCACAGGCCCAGAAACTTGAAGCGTCCACTGAGAATGAGGTTCCAGTAGGCCACCGCCATCTCCAGATCTGAGAAACACACACACATAAACACACACTGATTACAGACACACACAGGCGCACACACACTTAAATAGACCCGCGCACATGCGCACAGACACACGCACACACAAAGACACAGATGTGCACACATACACACAAGCATACATATACACAGACACAAACCTAGACACATGGACATACACACACACAGAAACAGACACACACACACAGAAACACTTCACACACACATACACACATGCGTACATATACACAGACACAAACATAGACACATGGACATACACACACACACACACACAGAAACAGACAGACACACAAATACACAAACTAACTGACCTAGACACACATGCACACACACACACACACGCACACACACAAATATGCATACACAGAAACAAACAGACACACACAAATACACACACAGTCACAAACAAACAGACATAGACACACACATGCACACCTACACACGCACAAACTCACACAAACATTCACACGTACACACAGAAACTGACTAAAACACACACACTCACACACACACAGTCACAAACAAACATACAGACACAGAACACACACACACACACTCAAAAAACAGATATAAGACACACACACAAACAGACAGACAGACATATACACATACACACACACATCCGCACAGATGCACAAACACACACACGCGCACGCTCAGAGATGACAGCACTGGCCCTCTCTTGATCTCTCACCTAAACACTTCTGTCCGGGACTCTTGGCGAAGCTGAAGGTGAAGCGGTAGAAGTCTCTGAATTTCCCAGAATCCTTCAGCTCCTGCTCCAGTCTGGGTAAAAGACTCTTCAGCTTCTCTGGACTGTCACAACTACAGCACAACACACACACACACACACACACACATACCGAGTCAAGATCTGCAGTGAATTCACATCCACTGTGTGTGATTGTGTGTGTGCATGAACTTGTGTGTTTGTGTGTGTGTGTTGTTGTATGTGCATGTATGCATGCATGCATATACAGGATGTACTTGTGTGTGTGTGTGTGTTTTTATGTACTTGTGTGTGTATTTATGTACACGTATGCAGGCATGAGCTTGTGTATGTGTGTGTTTGTGTATGTTTTATGTTCTTATGTGTGTTTTTATGTACTTGTGTGTCTTTGTGTGTGTGTGTGTGTGTGTGTGTGTGTGTGTGTGTGTGTGTGTGTGTGTGTGTGTTATTGACCCGAGGTCCGTCATGCCGTCCAGGAACTCCTGCCGACTGAACTCGCACTGCGTCGCGGCTCTGAACTTCCAGGCTACGATGAGGACGCTAACGCTAGCCGGATCCAGCATGAGGTCGTCACAGAACTGCTGGATCCCGTCCACACCGATCTTATTCTCATCCTGTGGATCTGCAGAACAGCACAGCGCAGGTAAAACACACACACACACACGCGCACACGTATGTATGTAAATAATTACTAGATACATTATTAAAACTAGGGTGGCACGGTGGCTCAGTGGTTAGCACTGTGGCCTCACAGCAAGAAGGTCGCTGGTTTGAGTCCCGGCTGGGTCAGTTGGTGTTTCTGTGTGGAGTTCTGTGTGGAGTGTGCATGTTCTCCCCGTGTTGGTGTGGGTTTAATTAAATTTAATTAATTTATTTATTTATTCATTCATTAATTCATTCATTAATTTATTTATTCATTTATTTATTTGCTTATTTATTTACTTATTCACTTATTTATTCATTTATTTATTTACTTATTTATTTATTCATGAATTTATTTATTTACTTTTTATTTATTTATTTGTTTATTTATTAGCTTTTTTATTTATTTACTTGTTTACTTATTTATTTATTCATTTATTTATTTGCTTTTTTATTTATTTACTTATTTATTTATTTATTCATTTATTTATGTGCTTATTTATTTATTTATTTGCTTATTTATTTATTCATTTACTTATTTATTCATGAATTTATTTATTTACTTTATTTATTTATTAATTAATTTATTTACTTATTTATTAATTAACTAATTAATTTATTTATTCATTTATTTATTTACTTATTTATTTTCTTATTTAATTTCTTCTTATTTAATCCTTCTTGTTAAGAATAGTGAAGTGATTTTGTTGTATAATAAAACTGTACATTACTGTTTCTGTTAATAAAGCAAAAAAAAAAAAAAGAAAGAAATTAGGTCAAAAATCTAATAAAAACTGCACATTTCAGGGCACTTCAGCAGTCCTTCTGCATGCAGCTCACAGTCACTGACAGCAGACCTTTGTAGCGGCTGTAGAGCAGGTCCAGCTTCCTCCGGTCCACTGCTGTTTTCATGGAGTCTCTGAGCTTTTCTGTCTTCAGGCTGCAGTCATTGTGGGTCAGGCAGAACAGATGGGTTAATTTCTGCAGGATCAAATGACGGATCTGTTGGAGAAGACAGAGGGAATGAGTGACAGTTTGAGAACATTAACACAACCCGTCAGCCCTGCTGTACACCATTAGTACAGTAAATAAATATATTCTATACTCATGTGTCAGTTGGTGTTTCTGTGTGGAGTTTGCATGTTCTTTCCGTGTTGGCGTGGGTTTCCTCCGGGTGCTCCGGTTTCCCCCACAGTCCAAACACATGTGCTATAGGGGAACTGATCAACTACACTGGCCATAGTGTATGAGTGTGTGTGTGTGTGTGTGTGTGTGTGTGTGTGTGTGTGTGTGTGAATGAGTGTATATGGGCGTTTTCCAGTACTAGGTTGCAGCTGGAAGGGCATCCGCTGTGTAAAACATATGCTGGAATAGTTGGCGGTTAATTCTGCTGTGGCGACCCCTGAATTAATAAACCGTAGGAAATTAAATGAATGAAATAATAATAATAATAATTATGCATTTATTAAATTATTATTAAATTAAATCTTGCAAGGATTTTTACTCAAGTTAATTTCTTAATACCTAATTTATTTTTAAATTCTGAACTTCACAATTCCTACTTTAAGAATACAAGTTGTTGATTTTATGTCTTGTGATTTATTCTTTACATCATTATTACATTATATACATACAATATACACATATTCAAATGTTTTCTTCTACATTTTCGAGTTGTCAATTTTGACTTTCATTTTAAATCTGAAGTTACATATGAAGTTTGCATTTTTTCCTCAAATTTTGAGTTTGCATCTTACAGTTCTGCCTTTGTTCAATAATGACTTCATATCCTGTAATCTCCCATTGCAGAAAACACCATCCCTAAAGTGTAAACATGAGCAGTAGCATGCACTTGAACTGATAATTACTCAGAAGCGATAAACCAATATATGCATGCATGAATTAGCTGAACAGAGCGTTTATTCAAACACATCAACACTGACTGACTGTTCCTGTGTGTTTGGTTTGATCAATGCTGCCCTCTTCCTTCTGCCTTGCATGAAAGTGGGCGTGATCAAAGTAAAAGAGAGCTATCTGATTGGCTGCTGTCATAGCGAGGGTTAAGGTCACATATGATGGATCAGTTCTATTGCATGATTTTAGAAACACCCACCAGTTTGAAAACGCCCCCAAATTCAGAAACATCATGTACGCATGCGCGACACTGCGTTCAGAGGAGTTGTAGTTTCAACACACATGCGGCTGTTCAAGTTTAATTCGACGGACGACGGTGGGAACGACTTCAATCAATTCAGAACTATTTTTTTTTGTTTGACGTGAGTTTCACATGTTTATAGTCAAACATAACGACTCGTTGATCAGCGTTGATTATGTGAGTGCGGGATAGGAACTACATTACCCAGAATGCCCGGTCGATTGTTTTGATTCAGTCGAACAGTGTCAGAAATATTAGCATAAACATGAAATAAAACAGCAGACAGTAGCCGCTTAGAAAGACACACACACGGATTTGGTGCTTGTTCGTTTTCCGCGAGCTCCACGGCGGTTTAACGGAGAGTGAACGGCTCCGGTGAGTCTGTCAGGAGGCGAGCCCGCGAAACACGTCCGTAAACACTGATCATCATTATCATGATCATCATCATGTGTCTCAGTTACCTTCTCCTGCTCCGAGTGTCTCTCTCTCCGGTTGTTTCTCTCAGAGCAGCGGGTCTCCGTCTCTCTCTCCGGTTCGGGAGTCGCGGTGTGTGACGTCACAAGAGCGCGATTGTTCCTCGTTTTTTTCTGTGACTAGTTCCTCCAGTTCGCCTCTCCGCACTGAGCAGGTATGAGCGACTCCTGTTTTCCTCATCATTATAATGCAGAATGTCGTGTAGCAGATGCTCTTTAAACTGCCGTGAAGGTGGATTTGTCCTCAGTAAAATAATCAGCGGTGTTCAGCGTTAGATGAGATCATAATTCTGCAGAAATCTGACTTAATAATGACACAGCGACATGCATACATGTATATTTGAGGAGTGTGGTGTTGTCAGTGGTTAGTTGTTTGGTGTAAATTGATTCTTAATGTTAAACAGTGCTGTCTCACTTCTCTATCATATGATATGCACATATAGTTTATTAAAATATGGAGCATGTCCTCAGTGTTGTTTGTGATCGTTATTAATACTAAAGGCTGTTTTGTTAAATAAAGGTGACCATGGCATCACTTCCCTGACTCTGGACACTGCTCATTATTGATGATTTCATTCATCATTTCTGCTCAAAGCTCCTCCCACTTTCACTAAGGCGAATTATGAACTAGTGGAATATGTGCTGGTGTGCTCTAACTCCTGCACAGTGTCATTGTCATGCTTTTAGTGCTCAATACACGAACTAGATTGTGTTATTTAATTATCAAAACCCTACATTAATGATAAATAAATAAATAATTAATAAAAAATATTGTGTGTATGTGTGTGTGTATGTATACACACACACAGAGCTCAGCATAATTAAGTACACCCCATTTTGAAAATGTATATTTTTCTCCATTTCTCAGTGAATATACAGTTGAAGTCAGCATTATTAGCCACCCTGAATTATTTGCCACCCTGTTTAATTTTTTCCCCGATTTCTGTTTAATGGAGAGATTTTTTTCAACACATTTCTGAACATAATAGTTTTAATAACTTATTTCTTGTAACTGATTTATTTTATCTTTGCCATGATGACAGTAAATATTATTTTTCAAGACACTTCTATACAGCTTGAAGTGACATTTAAAGGCTTAACTAGGTTAATAAGGTTAACTAGGCAGGTTAGGGTAATTAGGCAAATTATTGTGTAGCGATGGTTTGTTCTGTAGACTATCAGAAAAAAATGAGCTTAAAGGGGCTAATAATTTTGTCCCTAAAATGTTTTTTAAAAAATTAAAAACTGCTTTTATTCTAGCCGAAACAAAACAAATAAAGCTTTCTCCAGAAGAAAAAAATATTATCAGACATACTGTGAAGATTTCCTTGCTCTGTTTAACATCGTTTAGAAAATATTCAAAAAATAAATAAATAAAAAAATCAAAGGGGGGTGAATAATTCTGACTTCAACTGTAGGTAATGTATTTTGGTGTATTTAAACAAAATAATTTCCTAATCGGATATATTTAGTAAAATAATATTATTAATTGTATTACTTATAATATTAGTCACCAAATATATTTAGAAATTGAAAGATAATACAATTAAATTCAAGCGAAATATTGCAAATAAACATTGCAACCTACTAAATTTCAACTAAATTTGTCAATTTTTTTAGCTTCTCATTATTTTTTCTATTTTAAATGTGTATATATTATTTTTCTATAACATAAATTTGCCTGTAATAGTTTTTGGAGCGTTATCGTAATTTATTTTGTTAAATGATCTCCAGATTTTGCCTCAGTTCTGACTGATATAATTATGCACAAATTATTATTGTAGAGCTTCCTATTAAAGATATGAATTTAAAAGAGAGATTTGTTAGGGGTGTACTTGTATATGCTGAGCACTGTGTGTACATATATATATATATATATATATATATGCACACACACACACATAGTTGAAGTCAGAATTATTAGCCCCGTTTTGATTTTTTTTTTTTATTTAGATTTTTTTTAAATATTTCCCAAATTATGTTGAACAGATCCAGGAAATTTTCAAAGTATTTCTGATAATATTTTTTTTTTCAGGAGAAAGTCTTTGTTTTATTTTGGCTAGAATAAAAGCAGTTTTTATTTTTTATTTTTTGAAGAAATCTGCTCTTGGTTAAACAGAAATTGGAGGAAAAAAATAAACGGGGGCGAATAATTCTGACATATATACGTATATATATATATATATATATATATATATATATATATATATATATATATATATATATATATATATATATATATATATATATATATATATATATATATATATGTGTGTGTGTGTGTGTGTGTGTGTGTGTGTGTGTGTGTGTGTGTGTGTGTGTGTGCATATATCTCATTTCAAAAACATCCCTCTTATAACTTTAAAACTAAAAACTTTAAGTGCTGTTATTGTGTAAAAAAGGTAAAGTAAAATGAACTAATCTTTTTATCATCTTCCAACAGATGCCTAAATAGCTGTCATTTATTCTCTGGCATGACATTGACCCTGTTATGCCACATTCTAGTATCTGCATCTCTCTGCTAGTCTGAGCTCCAGCAGTGTTGTTTTCCGTATACACACACACACATTATTACACTGACGCACTGTTGAGGAAACACGGCTGCATATCAGTGTACGTCAGGGACATTAAGCTGTATTTAGCTGTAGGATGTAGGTGTGACGGCTGCTAAACACACGTTGGGTTGTTTGTCTAGTTGGAGACACACCTAAACAAGCTCAAACTGACACACTTTCAGACTCGGGAGTGTGCTCGTGTTCATAAGTCAGGTGATTTCTCCAGCTCTCCTACTTTATAGCATGAATACCATAAAGCTGCATGATATAAGTATAATAAAAGTTATTTAATAAAGGTTAATTCATAGCTTAAGTTAACAGCAGATGGGGCACTACACTATTGTTTAACAGCAGATGGCGCTCTAGGCTAGTGTTTAACAGCAGTTGGCGCTCTAGGCTAGTGTTTAACAGCAGATGGCGCTCTAGGCTAGTGTTTAACAGTAGATGGCGCTCTAGGCTAGTGTTTAACAGCAGATGGCGCTCTAGGCTAGTGTTTAACAGCAGATGGAGCTCTAGGTTATTGTTTAACTCTAGATGGCGCTCTAGGCTACTCTTAAACAGCAGATAGCGCTCTAGGCTAGTTTTTAAGTTACCAGTAGTTGGCGCTCTAGACTAGTGTTTAACACCAGATTGCGCTCTAGGCTACTCTTAAACAGCAGATGGCGCTCTATGGTAGTTTTTAAGCTAACAGTAGATGGTGCTCTAGGCTAGTGTTTTAACAGCAGATGGTGTTCTAGGTTAATGTTTAACACAGGATAGCACTCTAGGCTGCTCATAAACAGCAGATGGCACTCTAGGCTAGTTTTTAAGTTAACAGCAGATGGCACTCTAGGCTATTGTTTAACAGCATATGGCACTTTAGGCTAGTGTTTAACATCAGATGGCGCTCTAGGCTAGTGTTTAACAGCAGATGGCACTCTAGGCTAGTTTTTAAGTTAACATCAGTTGGCGCTCTAGGCTAGTGTTTAACAGCAGATGGCGCTCTAGGCTAGTGTTTAACAGCAGATGGCGCTCTAGGCTGCTCTTAAACAGCAGATGGCGCTTAAGTGTGAAAAAGGTCTATTATCACCATATATTGAGTGCTTGAATATCCGCATATGTCTGGATCTGTACTGTGTGTGTGTGCAGTGTGCGGGATGCGAGCTCTGTGTGCAGTGCTGTGCCTCGGCCTGGTGGTGGCGCTGCAGCAGAAGCCGCTCCACAGATCCGTCCATGGGCAGCAGTGGGTGTCGGAGAACTGCCGGCGGCTCTCCACGCTGCTGCGGCAGAAACAGTCAGCGGTGCGGAGGCTGGACACGGCAGCAGCGGCTCTGCAGCGAAACCAGGAGCTGGCACCGGCTGAGAAGCTGTTCCGCATCCACACGCTGGAGGTGTTCGAGCGCGAGCTGAACGAGAGCGAGAGATCCCTGTTCCAGGCCCTGGAGGGACTGCAGCGCGTGCTGAAGGGAAACCTCAGAGACGTGGTGAACATGAAGGAGAGCAGCAGACAGCGGCTGGAGGCACTCAGAGAAGCGGCCATCAAGGTCTGTATTACACCTCCTCTTCAATCAATTCTGAGCTTAGTTGTTGCTGTAGGCTTGGTTTTTACAGCAGATTAATGTTAAACAGCAGATGGAGCTCTAGACTAATTTTTAAGAGCAGATGGCGCTCTTGGCTAGTGTTTAACAGCAGATGAAACTCTAGGCATTTACTGCTGGTTGGCCGCTAGTGTATTTTGAAATTGGTCTGATGCTGTTGTCAATAGCATTTTTCAAATATTGTACTTGCACTATTAAGAAATTAATAAGATTTGACAAAAACTTCTAATATAGAGGCATGAGCTGAAAGATGCCAGACTCTTGTTTTGATGGACAGTAAATGTTTTGTGTGCCGTCTGACCGGTGTGAGTGTGTGTTTACAGGAGGAGCAGGAGTACATGGAGCTGGTGGCGGCAGAGAAACACCAGCAGGAGGCGCTGAAAGTGGCGCAAGATCGAAACAAAACCCTGTCAGTGCTGGACGAGATCCTGGAGGATGTGAGGAAGGCTGCGGACCGCCTGGAGGAGGACATCGAGGAGCACGCCTTCGACAACAACAAACAGGTGCACTAACACAACTGACGGAAATTAAGATCATCACATACATCCACTTCAAATGGTTCTGTGATGAGAAAAAATGGAGGACAGTGCGTGATTTTGTTTTTTCAGTCTAATAGCACTGGTTGTCCTGCTCTAAAACACTGATAACCTCTTCCTAAATTAATCATTGCCTGCCCTAAAGCACTGCTAGCTTCGCCATACATTGCTGATTGTCCTGCACTGATAGCCCCGCCCTAAAGCACTGACAGCCCGCCCTACAGGACTAGCAGTTCCACTCTAAATGTCCACTAGTTCTTCCCTAAACAACTGATAGCACCACCCTAAAGTACTGAAAGACCGCCCTAAAGCACTGAACGCCCCGCTCAAAAAAATTGGTAGCCTTGCCTTAAATCTCCACTAGATCTGCCCTAAAGCACTGATAGCCCCGCCCTCAAGCACTGATAGCCCCGCCCTAAAG